TTTCACTCTAATGTGATAGTTATTTTTAATAACATTGAATTTTTTAGAAAATAAACTCTCAGACTCATTTTATTTCTTTTGCAGTAGAAAATAATTTTTAATATTTTAATACTATTAATTTACATTGTAATTTTCATAAACTTCATTTCTTTTTAAAACATTAAAAATCTTCACATAACTATTATTTTATGATTTAATATAATCAACAATTTTTTAAGTCATTAGAAAAATCTGGTAGTTAGTGTTCATAACACAAAAGCAAAATCTAAATCCACTACAATCATAGTATTTCACTTTCTTCAAGAAACTATTTTAGCTGTTAATACCACTATTTACTGTATCATAATGAATTCTATTTGAGAAGAGAATCATATTCCTGAAATTATTCTTTATTAAGTTGAGACATACTTTGCACCATTACCTCTAGTCCTTGGTAAAAAAATATTATTCATATATGATCAAAATTTTTCTAATTTTTTAAAATACTTATATTTTTATAATAGAAAACTACAATTTAAAAAATCCTCAAAAACAGTCAAAATACAAAATCTCTCTGGACATAAACATTTAGACCACAACTTTAGAAATAATGGAAAACTCTCTGATTTATTACCAATAAATCAATATTTTTATAACATCCCCTAGAAAAACAATCATGAAAAAATAATGTCTAAGCCAAATTTGAATTTTAAACTCAGACTTGGTGTTGATAAATATTATTGGTCTTGGCATCCTCCCTCCCCGCCACCCTTCCCACCAGGGAGCAAGTCTTCCTTCCAGTCCCAGGAAACTGTAGGAAAAAAATTACAAACTCTTAGACAATATTATTGACTCCAAGATGTCTGTCAATGGTGTCAAACTACATAATATGTCAACTCAAGCTCAGGCCACAGGAATGGTTTTCATAAACTCTTCTCTAGTATTTTGCATTCCCAGGTCCCTCCTAGACCACCAAGCCCCTCATTTCAATCGCCACAACCGTGCAACCTCCCACCACAAGCCGTAAAGCTAGTTTTTTGTGTTTGATTTCCAAAGTCATATCCACTGATCTAAATTTATCTGGGGCTACGTCATGCTATATGAGGTGTACCAGAAAAATCAGTTCTTAAAGGTCTCTAATCGTGTCAAAGATTCTAGATTTTGGTGCTCAAGAGTATATATATTCCACCAAAGTATGATATCAATATCCAATAATGTCTTGTAAGGTAGATGGTTACAGAGAGCAGTCACTTTCTGTAGATTTTCACTACAGAAAATATCTCTGATGGTTTTGTGGGAGTCTCAATGCCCAGAAACCAATTAAGAGGTATGGAATGAGAGACATGGCTTAAGGAAAGATGCTGAAAAGGGAGAGGAAGGAACAAAAATATGCAGTATTTAAAAGCATAGATAGATAAGAAGCTGGAGGCTTAGCTCAATGGTGGAGCACTTGCTTAGCAAACACCATGCCCTAGGTTTTATCTCCAGGACCAAAAAAAGAAAATAGACAGGATGCTACCAGATGTGAATAGAATCTAGGCATCTCCCAGGATTCTAGCTTGAAAAGACAGTGAGTATCACCAAGCTAGGATGGAAAAGCAGAAGAACCAGGTTTCTATCGGAAGGTTACAAGTTTAATCAAAGTTATACATGAAATTTTTAAAATTACATTGTCTAGAATTCAAGATAAAAGTCAGGACTGGTAACTTGAGAAAATATTTCAGAGGTAGCCACAGGTAGGATAAAATTTTTTAATATGTTACAGCAAGAACTACAAAAGACAATTGCTTATGAATCTATCTGCAAGTTCAAGAGAATCTGATCTGTTTTGCTGAGATTCAATTGCAAATCAGTGCAGAAAATTGGATAAAGATTTGTCAAAAACACTAATTTTAGCCTTCAACTATTTTAGCCTTCTCCTTATCTTTTACTAACAGCCTATGGAT